TTTCATTATTTCACTGCACTGAAGCTCTAGTTAATGACCCTTCCTTTCTTCAGATATGTCCGTATATCACGACGAAATAGAAATTGAAGATTTTGACTTCGACGAGGAAACGGAGACCTATTATTATCCTTGTCCATGTGGAGACCGATTTCAGATAACTAAGGAAGAACTGGCTGTAGGAGAAGACACGGCTACTTGTCCAAGCTGTTCTCTTATTGTCAAAGTTATATATGATCCGGTAAGTGGTTCTTGAAGGGATTTGTATTTTTAAAAAATGCTATATATTTTTAGTCTTATGGTAATTATGATGACAGTTATAATCTTTGTGACACCCTTTCAACTTTAATTTTGTTCTCTGGATTGTTTGTGTGATGCAGAATAGTATTTGCTATAATATCATGCATATTTCAGGATGATTTTGCTGAGTATGAAGAAGAAAGTGTAACATTACCAAAGGAGAAGCAACTTGCAACAAATTAAGCACAATCTTGTAAGACTATGTAAGTAAGACATAGATTCTGTCTACTATTGAATATTGAAAGATGAGCCTTGAAGAAAATGAATGCACTTTTTATGGCAATATAGTATCCTATCCTGGATGCTAGGAAAACAAATATATTTTAGAATATTTGTGGCATTTTTTTTTTTTTCTTGTTTCTTTCTCTAATTATTAATGCATAAATAAATCAGTATATATGTTTGTGTTCACTTCAGTTGTTAATCAAATATGAAGATTTGTAGATTTCATTCATATATCTTAAATGCAATGGATACATTTATATGACATTACTTTCTTATATCTGTTCCACTTAGAAGCAGCTCTTTTTAGATATAATGTTTAAATTCTGTCCAATTGTTCAAAGATGTAGTTATCACTGTTTTGTTACTATTATTATTATTATGATTATTATTGTTGTAGTTGTTGTTGTTTTTATAATTGCTGCAGTTGGTATTATTATGTTTTTGTTAATAGTTATTTTATCATCATCTGCATCATCATCATCATCATCATTAGCAGTAGTAGTAGTTGTAATAATAGCCAAGTAATATCACCTTCTTTATTTTATCATTATCAGAAGTAACATTAAATAATAAGCATTATGTGTGTGTGTGTATGTGTGTATGTGTGTGTGTGTGTGTTTTCTTATCTGCTCATTCACAATAAACAGGAGGTCTGAGAGTTAAAGAAATTTTCTTGTCCATAAATTTCTTATATTTATGATTAATACTGAAATATAAGTTAAATTAAGAATTTTTCCTTACTAATAATAATATCAGTGTTCATGAGAATAATAACGATAATGACGGTAATAAGTACCTTACAATCATAAAGGTTTTCCTCTTCCCCATGTATGAATTATTGATAAATACCTCTTGCTATATTTGACAAAAAATGTCCTTAATTTTTGTAAAGGTAAATTTAATCCATAACTCTTGACCTTTTCCTTCTAGCAGTCAGAATGGGTGGAAGAGGACGTGGAGGTCGAGGCAGGGGGAGGGGCATGACCTACGAACAGCTGGGAGTTCAGAAAGGAGAGGTTTTACCCGAGAGAGTTGTTGGGCCACCAGAAACCTACCCTCCACTCGAGTTCCGCCCGGTGCAGCCTGCACAGGAAAAAAACCTGGCCGAATCCTACCTCTTAGTGGTGAAGAAAGAATTCCGAGAACACATGCAAAATTCACAGTACTTTATTCACCCTGGAGTAAAGAGACCTGATATTGAACGATACTCAGACAGATATCAGTTACTAGCAAGTCATCGCGGGCAGTTGAATATAAATTGGTCTCGGTGTCCGAAGGAACTCAGCCATTCTAGTACAGCAGCAAAGAAGAGAAAAAGCTGGACCAAAAAGGCCGATGTGAAAAAGGCAAAAGTGAAAGACCTAAATGTAAGTGAGGCGTTAGAGGCATTACAGAAAAAGGAAGAAACACAGAGTAAGGAAGGGGTTGAAGAGGAAGGAGAAGAAGAGGGTAAACCAGAGGGTGAAGAAATAGAGGAATTAGAAGAGGATGATGAAGAGCTTGATGAAGGTACAGACTATGTCAATAATTATTTTGATAATGGTGATAGTTATATTGATGAAGAAGATGATGCCCTTGAAGAAGGTGGTGTTTTTTAGTGTTTCAAACAAATAGATTTTTGCTCATATGAACCAGTCACCATGAATAATGTATATTTATAAAGAGATGTGCAACTATTAAAGGAAAAAAAAAGATTAATCCATGGCAACCAGTTGGCCATTTTCATTTACTTATTTTCCAAAAGAATTTAAAATATTTTAAAGCTTTTTCATCTTATTATTTGCTTCTTATTTGAGATATTGATAATCATGCAATGGAATGAAAGTTATATTGCTACTAGAGTCTATGACTATATGATAGCATTGCAGGAAACTTTTTTGTATTTAATAAAACATTTTGAATATGCATAGAAATGTGCTGATTTTATATATATATTGTCTTTATAAGATAATCTTAATAATAATGATGTGTGAAATGATATTTGTTTTGTTTTCCTTGACTAAGTTTTTTTGTTTTTTTTTGAGAGAGAGAGAGAGAGAGAGTGAGAGTGAGAGTGAGAGTGAGAGTGTGAGAGTGTGAGTGAGTGAATGAGTGAGAAGAGAAGTGTGTGTGCACATGAGACTTGTGTAATTCCTTTTTTTCTCCTTTTTTCCATAGGCCTGATTTCAAAGAATAAAACATTAACTTGTTTTTGCATATTAAAAAAAAAAAATCTTTAAAGTAAATATATAGCTGCTTTCAGGATCTAAATTACCATAAAACTTCCAAGCCAAAATATGTGTAAGTCTTCTATATTAGTCATGTGAAGCAAATAAGTTTAAGGAGGATTTTTAAGAATCATCTTAATGAATGCATAAAAAGAAGTTTGACAATACATCCAGAGGAATGCAGATATTACAATGAATAGATAATGTAAGCCCAAAACTTATATGAGACAAAAATATTAATTTCAGTACAAACTATCCTTATCCTCAACCCCGCTGATCCCATACCCAGAGACTGAGGTCCATTGTTTGGGATCTCCCCTACTTTGGGCCTTATCACTTGGCTCTACCAATTTTCTTCTCCCCCTTTCCTTTTCCTTCTCTTCTGTAACCTCTTTTTCCATCCACTATCTAGGATGTAAGAGACATGTTAACCCATTCCTGCCGGGCATGCCATGCCATGGCCACTGTGAGATTACTTGTTAGATTGTTTTCACACATAGATGGCTACACTTGTACTAAATCACCAATGAGCCAGTTACGAGTACCCCGTCTCGCCCGTTCACCCTTTTCTTTGATTTACGAAATATTTTACGGTATTTTATTTTGCTGTTACTAATGTTAAAAAACATTATAAAAATTACAATGTTTATGATAAAAATAACACCATCGATATTCATGGCACTAGTGAAAAATACGTTTCAAATCAGGCGCTAACAGAGCCATCTATTGGCAGACATTTAACAAAAAAGTATAGAAAATAGGCACAGCATTTTCCCCATCTTTTTTTCATTTTCCCTGGCGGCAATGGGTTAAAAGGATAAAAGGTTGGCTTTGGGTCTGTCCTGAATGGCCTCAGGGAGTCATGCGCATGGTATTCTGTTTAGTCATCTCATGGGGGCCCTGTGGGGTGAACCATTACCCTTATTAGGGTACTGAGGCTCCTCCTTAATCAACTAGCCCCACAGTCTTTTCTGGTTCCCTGACCCCTGGCTCTCCTTTGATCACAACTCTCACCACTACTACTACTACCCCCTCCTCAATACCTGCTGTCAGTACAGTCCATTTAAAGTCACCCACCCAGGTAATTACCCAACCTTCATGAAACATTCCTTCTTCTCCCACCATCCTCCACTCCATCTCCTCATCCTTCCACAGTTTTCTTCACTTCCAACCCTCTCCTCCCTTATTACTACTCTTCATCCTTATTGTCCACCTCCCTGCAGTACTACCTCACTCAACACCACTCCCTCTTCCTCCCATCCTCAGCTACTACAGATCTTTTGAGTACTCTATAGCCCAGCTAAATGGGATCAATTTTTTGTGATTCCCCTTACTCAACAATTTCTCCAAAAATAAGTAGACATAGTTTCCTTCCATAGCCATTCTGATCATTTACCTCTTGTCACCGTTAACATCTGAGTCCCAAGCTAGTGCATTATCTATCCTGAAAGACCTCGCTATCAAACCTGTTCCTACCCAGTCTCACTCCTCCCATAATACTTGTACTGGAACTGGACTATCTACAAGAAGGATTGGTCAGACTGAAAAATACCTACTTGCCTGCCTGGTTGACTATGATGCAGTATCAGAACAGTGCTACACTGTTCCTCCCAGAGGCTGCCAAAAGTCCTACATCAATAATTCTAAGATTACCTTCTGCAGATATGACCTCCCCCTTAGTTTTTATAGTTTTAGTTTTAGAAATGTTTTGACCACCCTACTATGCACTGCGACACCACAGCTCGCTCCCCTCTGGCCATGATCACTCAAACTGCCCTGTGCGATCACATATGCCAATTGTGGAAGCTCCCATAATGTATTTTTGAGGGCTGTCCTACCTACAAGTCTGAGTCTTAGGTAGCAGTCCTCAGATTCAAATTTGGCCTCACTTTATGCAAGATCACTTCTACCCCCTCCCTCCCCCAGTCAAATTCTTTTGCTATTCTAAATCCAGACACTCCAATTTCTATAATTTCCCCAGTACCTACCCCTCCTCCTTGTTCTACCTATTACATCAGACAATCTAAATGTTCCATTCCATCTTCTATGCATCTAATCGTTAACACATTAACCCCAATCTTTACCCTTTTGGCCACTACACTTCTCTATTGTGGTATCTGATCTTTGATGACTAGCACATTTGCTTGATAATCATCTATTACCCTTATTTTCATAAATCACTACAGTTTCAATAATAATAATAATTATAGAACAGATTTACAGTGAAGTATGAGTAAAAAAAAAAGCTGCATGAGCAAAGGGAATGCAGTGCATAATTTTATACTCTAGTTATTTGGAAAGGTTTATTGAAGAATAGCCTGAGTCTGTGTGTAAACACATGTATTTCTTTATATACATACATAAGTATATATATGTATATACATATACATATATATATATATATATATATATATATATATATATATATATATATATATATATATATATATATATATATATATACATATGTATATGTATATAAGTGTATATGTATGTACATGTACATATTTGTATATATGTATTGTATATATACATGTATGTATATATATATACATATATATACTTATATATACATATGTATATATATATATATTGTATACATATACATATTTTTATATACACATACATATATATGCATATATACATATATATACTTATATATACATATAAATATAAATATGTGTATAAATGTATGTATATGTACATGTATATAAATATATATACATCTACATATATATACATATTAATAAATCAATATGTCAGAGTGATTTTAAGTCTTTATTGCAAATTTATTACTCACACTCTAGGTGATTTGTTGACAATGTGCCCATGGTGGAGTGCTATGTGAAGTGAGGACATACAATTTTTCCAGATTACTTCTTATGGCTGACAATGGTACCATTATCCATTATCAGCATCTAGGACTAGTAGTAATGTCATATAATGCACATAAGTCTGGTAATGCTTATTCCTATGATGGTAAAAAATACTCTTTAGCAATATTTTTTTCTATGATGGTAAACGAAAATACAAGGTCAACTTGAGTTTATTTTAATCGCATAAAGTTCTCCAACTGTTATGTTTTTATTTACTCTAATTTACCCTTTTAAATCTCCATTCACTGTGTCATCAATAATCACAGCAGGAGCACATAAAACCTTGAAGTTACAGTTCATTGTTCTTGTATGAGACTATACTGGTGGACTTGATCTGTTTTTTTAAGGCAATCCTTTGTAAGCTCTCTATCTACATATATGCATATATATATATATGTGTGTGTGTGTGTGTGTGTGTGTGTGTGTGTGTGTGTGTGTGTGTGTGTGTGTGTGTGTGTGTGTGTGTGTGTGTGTGTGTGTGTGTGTGTGTGTATACAATATATAATATATATTATACATATATATACAAATACATATACTATATATATATATACATATATTCCTATAATATATATATATATATATATATATATATATATATATATATATATATATATATATATATATATATATATATATGTGTATATATAAATGTGTGTGTGTGTGTGTGTGTGTGTGTGTGTGTGTGTGTGTGTGTGTGTGTGTGTGTGTGTGTGTGTGTGTGTGTGTGTGTGTGTGTGTGTGTGTGACTATGTGTGTGACTGTGTGTTTTGCTCCAATATGTACAGACAGAACAGATAGGTAGATGTTAGAAAGAATGACAAACATATATAAAATAAGTGCATATATAAAACCGTCTCCAGTGCAGTTTTCTCAAACCAGTGAGCTGGTGTGAAAAAAAGAATGATGAACAAGGATTTGAGACTATATAAGGCTTCAATCAGGAGTTCATACACCAGCTACTTTTATGTGTGGTTACAACATTCCCCATTATTATCTTCTGCAGAAAAAGGCAGGTAGTTAGCTTATTAAGCTATTACTGCTTTTTGCCAATCACAGTGTCAGTATAAATGTCAGTATAAAGTAACCATGTTTCAGTAAGTCTCATGCATCCACATCTATGAAGTCCTCCTGAAAATATTTCATTTGAACAAGCATAGTAACAAAAAGGTAATTCATATAATACAAACAATGGGAATTTTTATTTCAACATACTTACTTTTGTAGTAAGTGTAATATGCCATTACAGCTAAATAAATTTACTTACTTCCTGTATCAAGAGGATTTTTTATATGAAATACCAAAGGAATACCTAACAATGTCTGGGAAGTGGGAATGATTTAATTCAGTTTTTATGTGAATATATTTTTATGTGCATATATATTCATATGTAGATGTGCATATGTGTGTGTGTGTGTGTGTGTGTGTGTGTGTGTGTGTGTGTGTGTGTGTGTGTGTGTGTGTGTGTGTGTGTGTGTGTGTGTGTGTGTGTGTGTGTGTTGTGTTGTGTGTATTGTGTGTGTGTGTGTGTGTGTTGTGTGTGTGTTTGTGTTGTGTGTGTGTGTGTGTGTGTGTGTGTGTGTGTGTGTGTGTGTGTGTGTGTGTGTGTGTGTGTGTGTGTGTGTGTGTGTGTGTGTGTGTGTGTATGTGTGTGTATTTTTTTTGTGTGTGTATTTTTGTATGTGTATTTTTATTTGTATTTGTGCATGTGTATTTGTGTGTGTGTATTTTTGTGTGTATGTGTATTTTTGTGTGTATGTGTATTTTTGTGTGTATGTGTATTTTTGTGTGTATGTGTATTTTTGTGTATGTGTATTTTGTTTGTGTTTGTGCATGTGCGTGTGTATGCGTGTGTATGCGTGTGTGTGTGTGTGTGTGTGTGTGTGTGTGTGTGT